GCATCCAATCAATTAGTAAGTTGCTAGGAATCTGCTTTTGCATTTGTTAATTAGAACTCGACTGGTCCTCGCGGCGAAAAAAGTGTTTTAATGGAGCCAAGGTTTTCACGAAACTAGCTTGTTCTGCTTCGATTCCCGGGGTGTTTGTGTATATTTAAGAAAGCCCAATCTACCTGATCCTGAATCCTGGGTCACACAATTTATCTCTTTTTTACCACACCCGTCAAAAGCCATAAGTAGAGACAATTAATCATTTCTAATTTTCCTTTTTAGCTCAACACTTTTCTTGCATCATCATCCAAGTCAATTTGTTTCCTTAAATGAAAAATAAAATAGAGGTAAGAAATAGGGGGAAAAAAAAGTCTTGAGAAAATAAGCAAAATTAGATTAAAAAAAAAAATAGAACTCAACAAATCAGCAATACACTACTAAAGAGCTAAAGCCTTAAACTTGCTTACCACAACGCACATTCTCAGGTTAATTAATTCTCAAGAAAAGAGAAAATAGATGTAAATAATAAATCCAATTCTACCAAATTTGGTGACAGGTACACAGTACTTAACTATTATAATGTCAAACTAATTCTTATTATTCTACAAAAATTGTTCCTTTGATTCTACCAACTTGAATTTGTCATACAAACTCAATAGTTGTAATTCTTTTAGTATGCAAAATAAAATAAAGAATTTGGGAATTAGGTTTCACCTAAAACTAAAGCCCCCTTTGTCTAAGGCAAGTGAAGCATTTCCATCATGGATTAGAATCTCAAAAACACAAAGTATGGAAAATAGAAGTTAGAGAGAAATAGAAGAAATAAAAAATCGAGATAACTAACAAATACAAAGTAGACAAAGTATCCAAGGCAAACCCCATTTGGTATGCAAAATAAAGGATTTTGGAATTAGGTTTCACTTAAAAAAGAAAAGGCATAACTAACAAACACAAAGTAAAATAAACAATTAAAACAAGGCAAAAGTATGGAAAAAGGTCCCAAACTTGCATAAAATTCTCAATTTCAAACTTGAACTTTAATTGCACTCAATTAAGGTCCCGAACTCCATGACATTCTCAAATAATGTCCCAATTTGATGGAATATTCTCTTACTATCAAATTTCTTGGATGCCCATTAACCGTCCATAACTCTTTGCCAACTGGATTGCCACATGGAAAATATGTTGACTTGTCATTGCCACGTGAATGCCATGTGGATGCCACATGAGCCCTTGTTAGCATGATTCTCCTCAAAAGCAACTAGGACCGACCAATGGTAGCCAAATGGCAATGACAAGTTAGGTGAATGTTTACTTGGTACGATAATGTGCGCTTACATTTTTAGGTGAATGTTTCACAGTTATCAAAATTCCCTCAACATTTGCTTACCTTGCAAGCAGGCAAATAATGTAAGAGAGTCCCTGGGATCATAAGCTGTATTTATTTGCCTACTTATGTTTCTAGAGCATCTCAAAGTCATCTTCTCTTATGCCGTCATTAATAGAGAGCTCTTTGGATTTTAGGTGGGCATCAGACAATCCTTTCACAGGCAAGATACCTGGTTTCATTGGCAATTGGACAATATCTTTGTAAGTTACAAATGCTTCTTATTCTATTTTGAAAGACATTCTTTTTTGATTAGTTTTGCCTCATTTCTTCAACAGTTGGATATATCTAGTTTGTTCTTTCTTGATTAGCCTGCGAAATATTTCTGTAGGAGATTTGAAGGGAACTTTATTGAAGGTCCTATACCATCTAGTTTTTCTAAATTAACCTCTCTAAATTCTCTATAAGTAATTATTCACTTACCATTTACTCTCTCTCTGCATGCATGATTCTGAAAGCATGTATAATCGCTCACTTTTTCAATCCTTATCTATAATCAAGCAGGCGAATCAACGGTTTATCCAATGTGAGCTCTTCTCCCGATTTCATTATAAATTTAACAAGTTTAACTGAGTTGTAAGCAAAAACTCCTTAATCATGTACAGAAACCTGTATCTTGTTTTGTTTATCTTGTGTTTGTTTTATTAATTAATTGACTAACAAACTTTACTCTTTTCTTTTTTTTTTTATTTTCCTTTAGAATTTTAAGAAATGCATTAATTACCGGTGATATTCCATCTGATATTGGAGAACTCCAATTTTTACAAAATCTTTAAGATATGTTCACACTTTGCTTGATGAATATGTTGTGTATGAAATTTGCTCCCATTTCCTATATTAATTCAATGGACAATGATTGGTATACCCTCCGGTTCAACACATCTAACAATATTCACCAGTTTAGTTATTAAAAAATTAATATTTTTAAATTTGAATTCAATGTGGGAAAATTTCCAAAGACAAATTTTAATTATTGAACTGGTAGGTGTTACTAAGTGTGTTGAACCAAATGGTGTATCAATTATTTTTCTAATTGAATTCCTCTTTCTTTACCAGGGATTTGAGTTTCAATAACTTGATTCGCCAAATTCCAAGTGCTTTGTTCAACATAGGTTCTCTTACATACTTGTAAAGTCATAGAAGATGCTTCAAAATCTTGATATATGTCAATTTCATCTTTAGGTTTTCTGTTCAACCTAAGGCCATTAATCTGATGGTATTAACCATCTAAAGAAAAAAATTGACTTTATTATATTCTGTCAATGTCCAGGTTTCTTGGAAATAATAGTCTGTCTGGTACCATCCCTTATCGAAAGAGTGAAAACCTAATGAATATGTAAGCCATACCATTCTGAGCATTCTCTTTATTTGAATCAATAACTTCTGCTAACTTTCTGCTATTGTACTTTGACTACTTTCCCGTGTAGAGACTTATCTTACAATTTTCTGTTTGGAAGCTTTCCACCATGGGTGAACACAATCTCACGATTGTAGGTAGTTTGAGCGTATTTTTCTTTTAGTTGATGTCACATTATTAATGCAATACAAATGAAAGAAAAAAGCTCAACATCTACCCCAACCATCTCTATTAAATCCTTGTCAGAGCCAGTGACCTAGTTTTATTCTCATTTTGGTACCTAACTTGCACTAATGACCTAAATTCCAATGCTCAACTAAAAGTCCTGAAGTCTTTTTGGTTATAAAGAACCACAGTAGTAATGTACTACACACCTTGAATTTAAATTCATGAATGTTGGATTGTTACAACTGCTCTGACAGATGTTCATTTGTGTTGTTGCTTCATATCATGTAGGAATCTAGTAGCCAACAACTTCACATTTGACAGGTCAAATATAAGGTGAGTGGTAGTTCTTAGGTATCTGTCTGAGTTTTACTCTTTTATACACCTTAATATATAGGCCTAAGAAAATTGGTTGCAATTTTTTCCACAATGGAAGGCAGTCTTTTATAATTTATAACACTAACAAGAAATAACCATTTTATTTATTTTCAGTTTTTTAAAAGGATTGCATTGCCTTCAAAGAAGCTTCCTGTGCAACAGGAACTCTCCACGCTGTAAGCTTCTTTTCCTGCATTGCCTTGGGATGGCTTATACTTGGCATTATGTTGTAATCACAGAAAGAAACTTCAAGTAGAAAGGAAAAGGCATAGACAAATGTATTTTAGAGTGTTCTTAGACTCTCAGTGACAAATTATCCACTCCTACATTCCTGGTATCAATAATTCTAAGCTTGGCCAATTGAAATTTGAAATATGCATGCATCAATGGCAATTGTAAAAGGACAATAACTTTATCCTGCTGTTTTTAATTTACTTACTGGGTATGAACTTCTGTTGCTGAAATTTTAATTATTGTTTGACTAACTTGCCAAGCATATTTAAATATTGATGATGGCAGATACAAACTTCTCAATCAATTGTGGTGGTCCAGAGATGACTGTTGATGGGATAAAATATGAGGCTGAAATCTCTTTTCTTGACACAGCATGATTTAATGTAACCGATACTGAGAAATGGGCAGTTAGCAATGTGGGTTAGCACTTATGGAAATATTCAAGTGTTTGTGCGAAACAGCATGGAACAAGTGAGAAACACAAACTCACTGGAGCTTTATAAGACTTCAAGGATATTGCCTGGATGACTCAGATACTATGGCTTAGGCCTAGAGAATGGACCTTATACAGTTAACTTGCTTTTTACAGAAACAGCTTTCAAAAATCAAAGCACACAAACTTGGGAGAGTCTGGGAAGGCGATTTTTTGATATTTATATTCAGGTAAACTTTCTATCAAAATAGCAAACCTCTTTCCAGATTGCATTTATGGATCGTTTTATTCAAGTCCTCAATATAACAAATGTTTCTAAAATTACAAATTTTCAAACTTAAGTTTTACATTTTCAGATTTTAATCATAATCAACTGTTCTCAGGGAACCATCGTATTGAAGGATTTTGACATATCGAAAGAGGCACGTGGGGTTGACAGAGCGATCACTAAGAATTTCATTGCTTTTGTGACAGAGAACCATCTTGAAATTCACCAATTCTGCACTGGTAAGGGAACTTGCTGCATACCAGAACTAGGTGACTATGGACCTTCCATTTCAGCAATCAGTGTGGTATCAAGTAAGAAATGAGATGACATAAGAATCTCTGTTTAAAATCTTAAGTCATGTCTATCTCTGTTTGCCACTACTAATGCCTAAATCCTATTGATCAGATTTCACACCAACTGTAATTGGGATTCCCCCACATACAGCAGAAGAGAAGAGAACTGGGTTGATTGTTGGTGTTACAGTTCCTGTCGGAGTTGTCACCTTCTCCTTGATATTTATATTTGTAGTCTTCTACTTGAGAAGGAGAAAAGATGATGATGATGATGATGAAGAAGGTAAGAGTCCTAAAAAGTTTAGTCATGATATTATTTGTAAAACTGATTCATGTTAATATACTATGGTGGATCTGGCCTCATTGCTGCTGATTGAAGTTCTAGACTCCCCAAACCGAGTTCTAGGTTAAGCTCTTACTGACCTTTATACATAATTATTTTCTTCTTTGTTACAAGGGTGGACAAACGTGCTCTTATAGGAAGAGGTGTTCTAGTAGTACTTTTGGAAGGTTGGCTAAGAGGATTGATCTCTTATTTCCCTTGATGGAGAGAGACTAACTTTTTTTTTTTCGACTTCTTTGACAATGTCGCTGCTCTGTCTTGTGGCGATCCATTCAAATGGGACCAGTATTCCTTCCTAGTTCTCTAGTAAACTTGAATATTATGAGTTGTTGATTTCTGGTTTTGTTCTCCCATATATAATATATCTCTAGGCTTCTGGTATAGACTCTGCTCTTATTTTTATTTACTCATCAATTTTCAGATTAATTATATGAAAAGGACAAAAAAAAAAAAAAAGAAGAAGAAGAAGAAAAGAAGTAGAAATTAGACAATGGCCCATGGCCTTTAAACTAGAGATGCTAAATCCTACAACTAGTGTTTGTAAAATTTCAAAATTATATAATTATCTCCTATTTCATGTGTAGATTCTATTCCAACTTTTCTTGAATTTGCAGAGCTTCTTGGAATAGCACTCCGACCAAACACCTTCGGTTATGCCGAGTTGAGAGCTGCAACAGATGACTTTAGTCCCTCAAATAAGATAGGAGAAGGGGGATCTGGTCCTGTATACAAGGTAACCTATTGGCTTAGAATCTTAAATCTGTTTTTAATGAGATAGAAGATTTATATGACAATGTTGCTAAAAAATACACTTTATATACATTATAGGGTAAACTTTCTAAGGGCCGGGTAGTAGCTGGGAAGCAGCTTTCAGTAGCATCTCACCAAGGGAAGTGTCAATTTGTTACTGAGATTGCTAGCATATCTGCAGTGCAACATCGCAACCTTGTTAAACTGTACGGTTGCTGCATCGAAGGAAACAGACACCTCCTTGTTTATGAGTATCTTGAGAACAAAAGCCAACAAAAGCCTTGACCAAGCACACTTTGGTATGACTGAACTAGTTATTTTCTCCCTTTTAGCCTTTATGCTGGAAAATGAATCATATCTGCATCTCAATTCATTTCTTCACCAAATTAATCACTATCCATAACATTTCATGCCTCAAATATGCAGGAAATAAAAACTTGCATCTTGATTGGCCAACCTGCTTCAGTATCTGCCTGGCAACTGCTAGAGGACTAGTTTATCTTCATAAGGAATCAAGGCTGAGGATCGTACACAGAGACGTGAAGGCAAGTAATATTTTACTTGATTCTAAGCTCTGTCCGAAAGTATCTGAGTTTGGATTGGCAAAGCAATATGATGACCAGAAAACTCACATCAGCACTCGGGTGGCAGGGACCATGTAAGCTCCTTAAATCACTGGATCAAAAGAATATCTAATTTTTTGCATTATATTGTAGCTTTTATATGTTGTTAGGTCTCAGAGCATTTAACCATCAATGGAATCCAGAGAGTTGTATCATAGATAGAGAAATCATCTCAATAAACCTTCAACATGCAAATTTAATAGCTTAATTGCAATATTGGCAGTGGCTATTTGGCACCAGAGTATGCAATGTGTGGCCACCTCACTGAGAAGGCAGATGTCTTTGGCTTTGGTGTTGTTGCTTTGGAAATCCTTAGTGGAAGACCAAACTATGACAACAGCCAGGACAATGACAAGATCTATCTTCTTGAATGGGTGAAGAAAGAAACTCTTTTACCTTTTTCCTTCTTTATAGACACATTCCTCAGGCAAGAGATTCACTTATACAATGTTTCTAGGCATGGACTATGTATGAAAGCAACCAGAGTCTAGGTTTGGTGGATCCAACCCTAGTTGACTTTGATGAAAATGAAGCTTTAGAAAATAACTTTTGTTATATGCAAATTTGTTTGTTTTAGGTTTTTGTTGTTGTTGCTACAAGTAATTTTGTTGTTGTTGCTACAAGTAATTGTGAAGTTTGTATTTTGTGGCTATTGTTGATGATATATGATTGTGCTTGCAAGTATTTATATCTGGGTAAATGCATATTTGATGCTGGATGAGAATTTTTTTTTTTTTTCCATTTTACTGATATTCTTCCTTTTGACTTGGCACTTTTCATTATCTCTTTTTCCTCTCATATTCTCTTCCTTGTTGGTCATGGTTTCCCTTTAGGTGTAGTGAATATAGCTCCCTCTGGGCTCCTCTTTTTTCTCAGTATATCTACAGTTGTATCTCATTTTTTGAAAGACTATGAGTGGAATGGAGAATAGACTGGTTAGAATCTCTCCTGCCTTTACATTAGATCTTGGTATTTTGCATTCATAATGTCTTAAGTAGGTATTTAAATTTTGCTTATTTTATGTGATCAATGGTGTTATCTTTGTGTTAAACTGTGACATGAACGCATTTTCTTGAAATCGATAGTTGGAACTTCATGTTATTCTTATCAGTTTTTTGTTAGGGGACAAACTAATTATTATCTATATTCTTGTGGAATTCTTTTACGCTTATGTTCCAACGAAAACTAGCCAATGGTATTCTGGTATAGATGATACGACAAAACTCAGTTTAGGAATTTGGGTTCATGCTTTCTTCAAAGTCATTCCCAATAAAGACATATTTTGCAATTTGCAGTATATGTAAATTCTCGCTAATTATTATTTTTTTTTTAACATGCTCATATAAATCTGTCTATTTGTCTTGTAGTTGCACAGTGGCTGCATTGGTATGTGCTGTGATTGTAAGTGGAAGCAGCGTTTATGCTTTTAGTGACACTGATAACTTTTTGGTCACCAACGGAGTCTATTAGCCCCTGCCTCTTTCCTCAATTAATTATCATGCTAATTTTCTATTCCAATCATTAGCAATCCATTCTATTATTGTGATTTCAACTTACTGCTTGAGCTTGATCATGACATTGACAAAGATGGGGAGTTTTCTCTAAGAAAAAGCATTTTCCATGTCTACTTTTAGGTTTCCGTAGCCTTGGTGTATTGCCACAGAAATTAAGAGAATCTGGCACTTCGTGAGTGCTTGAAAGTACAGTCAAATGAGGTAAGTCTCTTAGTCTTTCATAAAATCTTGCAAGTATTTATATCTGGGTTAATGCATATTTGATGCTAGATGAGAAATTTTTTTTTTTCCATTTTACTAATATTCTTCCTTTTAACTTGGCACTTTTCATTATCCCTTTTCCTCCCATATTCTCTTTCTTGCTGGTCATGGTTTCCCTTTAGGTGTAGTGAA